TAAGACAATGAATAACTTGAAAAGAAAACATATGCCCCCTCTTCATATAAAAGTGGATAATAATGAAGAATTTAAGGTGGAAGAAGTCTTAAACTCAAGGTGACGCTAAAATAAGTTAAAATATCTTATTCATTGATATAAATATGATATTAATGAATGCACATGGAAGTTAGCAAAGAATCTTACAAATACATCAAAAAAAATTGATACTTTTGATTAACAATATCCATCAAAATCAAAATGAAGAATAATAAATCTTTGGTATAAAAGTAATAAGATCCAAAGAAGATAACATTTGATCTTCTATTCTTGTTTGTAATTTTTGTATATTTGTGGTGCTAAACAGATGGAAAATCAACAACTAGTAGATTCAATTAAAGAGCTATGATTTTCTAATTCATTAGATGAGACATTATAATTATCATAGCCTATAAAATAATATAATAGTGATGAAGATTGTAAAAAATGACATATTTTACTTTGAATAGATGGTAAAATATAACGTATTTGAAATCACGACCTTAAAATAGACTCTTGATGTTTAATAATTTTATTGGATGTAAGAATGAAATCTATTAGTATTCCAAATGTTTTATTTGAAGGGCAAGAATAATCAAATAATAGAGTGGTCTTTCTCCTATGGTATAAAACACTATTGATGATTGAAAGGACCTATCAACGATCTTTAAAGAGAACAAAGATTAAAATATGTGGCAAACACAATTTGTTGTATCTTAGACTTCTTTAACATATGATGATTATTACTTATAGAACTTGTTTCTAAAAAGAGAAGTAATGTCACAAACATATATATTTATCTAAATAAGAAGTACTAGGTAGAAAATAAATGTACATAGATTTCATATTATCTTATAATGAAGCTTCTTAGAAGCTTCATAGATTCATATTTGACTTTATATATGTTTATAATTAATTGGTAGATTACAAATTTAATCAACAAGTTAGCCATGTATCACACAAGTAGATAGTTTGTAGTACATGCTAACAATATGTTGCGTATATAGGAAACTTGCTTTGCAAATAAAAATACATATCTTGTAAATTAGACACATATTACAAATCCTATAGAATGTTGTTACATAGCTCCTAATTAGATAGTATATATGGAAGCAAGAATAAAGCCTTCTTTACTCTTATTAATGCCTTTTTAATCTTTAGTCTTATTTCAAAACTTTTTAGTCATCTTATCTTAGGCAATAACCATTCTAGTTTAATATTATACCATCTTTGAATAATTTTTTATTCTATTTGAGTGACACAAGAATTTATTGATCTTTTAGTTCTTTAAAATTCATGTCCTTGACACATGTTTATTCTATCTTTGAATATCTTTCTTAATCCTGCAATATGACTACTATCTACAAGAATGATTGTCTTAATAACCCACTCAAATTGCCTTTGTTGCAATAGCAAAACAACAATCCTTTCTAATTATTCCTATTCCTTGCCTCCCTAGTCAATCTCTTACAAATCCCAATCACTACAAATCTTCTTAACAACATCCACACCCAATTCCATACATGCATGCAAGTAAGTTGCATCTTTATAGTTGAAGCCTTCTTGCAATTGCAAGTTGAGATAGTAGAATAAGAGCAGCCTAATGTACAAGAAAATTTTGTTGACAAGAATGATACTTATGCCATAAAAACAACAAAACAGGGTTGTAAGGTATCTGAGACCTAAGTGCAAGACTACTAATGAACAACCTCTTTTGACTGCTTCCACTTTCTACCTCCCTAGCCAGTCTCCCATGAATCCCAATCACTACGGATCTTCTTGACAACACCCACGCCCAATTGTAGGCATACGTGCAAGTAAGGTGCATCTTTGCAGTTGGGCCCTTCTTGTGATTGCGAGTCAGGACAGTAGAGCGAGAACTGCCCAATGTACAAGATAATTTTGTTGACGAGGATGATGTCAATGCCATGGAAACAACCGAAAGGGATTGTTGGGTATTCAAGACCTGAGTGCAAATGCGCATGCCCACACTGTTGTCTGCATAGCACAGTACCTCTCCAAACTATTAATGCCATTCTTGAAAATTAAATAATTCATTGCGCCTTCTCCAATATGTTTTGCAGGAACCCGGGGTCCCGCCAATGGATTCAGATGTGGCGAGCTCGGGGGCTTGTGTCCCACGCGGGGCCCCACCTCAAGCAATCAGCGTTGCAGTCGAAGAAACCACAACATCATACATTCTGAAGAGGAAAGTAAGGAAGGGAGATTGCGTGAGAACACACACACATATGGGGGGAAGTCTAGTTTACTAGATATTCGGTGCAAGACCAGAAACACTACAAGTAACATGGCACTCTTCCCATGCGGGGACTGACCCCCCCACACACACACACACACTCACACTCCCCACATGCAATCAACGAGGCGGAGTTCCCGAGGTCGCCGAATCACGTGGTGTTTGAATGTACTGTGGAGGGCCGATTGGACTATTTTCCCATGCTTCATTGTCGGTTCCCCTACATATAGAGCCCCGCTTCATGCTACCTGCCACCTCGGTGCGGGAAAAGATTCTCTAGTTGCTTAAGGATTCTAAGATCCTCGAGATTCTTGCTTTGTTTTTCCGCCTAACATTCAATGCTGAGGCAGTAATTTTGGGCCTGATTCTACCCTGCTCGTTTTTCCTGTTCATTGAGCTGCTCTGGGATAATCGTAACAGTCCCACTGTGGGGGCGTAGACGTTCACCTGACGGTTTCAACTCGTACTAGCCCCAAAGTTGTGGGGGACCATGGGGAGCAGACACAACAGAACATGTAATTCTTGCAGCCTCACTAGCCAATTCATACTGATAGTAGTGGTGTGTTCCACGCCTTTGCAAAGCCTCCACCACTGTCGACCTCCAACTCAACCTTTCAAATAATTGCATTATTTAGTGAAGAACTATTCGGCAGGCAATGGTCCTAGGAAGCGAAGGGTTGTCTTACCAGTGTTTGAGAACTCCTCAGTCAACAGTTGAAGTTTATCTAACTTCTCAGTTGAGATAAATTCAGCTACTTCAAAGTCAAGTTGGTAAGAGCATGAGTCATGAAGAGGCAAAACAACGCTGTCGAAGAAGAACAAGCCCAAGGAGAAGCCAAACCACCGGAGTCAGAACTGTCATCAACTTGACCCCATGTACAAGCACTTCGTTGAGTACTCCGAAATACTACACACGAAACTCTTCTGCTGTCAGTTTTAAGAACATGACTAAAGGAAACACGAAGAGTTTTTCTCCCACGAGTGAGGCTAGGATCCTTGAATCTTGTGAACGACATGGACCGCAGTGCTGACTTGACAGGCTTCCCAGACACGCATGGGTAGTAGGTTAGGCAAGTCGACTAACCAGCAGCAAAGCCATAGTCATCAACACTGGAGCTGAAGACAAAACCTAGATAGCTCAAGCTTCGAGGTATCTTCTAGCTATATCTTGGAGCAATTAACCTACTGAATCAGAGCAGCTCATCTTAATAGACAGTGAAACCAGTAGACTTCGGTACACAATATTTTTCGACCATAGATTCTATTGACGATTGCTCCCAGCACAGAATGACTGGTGCTTCAAAAGCACTGCAGCTTGATTGAAGACCGTCAAATGCATCTGCAATGCCTCATGAAGCTTTGATATTGCATCGATGCATCTCTAATCTCTTAAGAAATATGGGGTTTGTCAATGAAAACATTGGATTATCAGTGTTGATCAAGTTCCATTAATCATCTTCATGTGGTACTCCGTCTACTGTTTTTGAAGAAGCTATTATTTCAGCTTTAGGTATGAATTTATATTACCACGACACTGCGATAGACATGAGTGAGCAAATGCAGCCACAGCTCACACACCAATATCAGCAACTTCCGAGCACATAATCACGCAAAAGCAGCATGGCTCCACAATAACATGCAAAACAGGATCCCACCAAGACTCAGAAATCTTGAGGATGGAAGAAGCGTGAAGCCAAACCAGGCAAATATACGTAGCAGAGCTCGTGATCAGGGACATGGAGCAAGCCAGCTGCAAGCCTGATGGGCATCTATCTTCTGTGGGGTCAAAGCTGGTTAAAGAAGACTTCAGATTTGACACTCCATTGTTCAAGCTTCGAGCTCTGTGCTGGGCACTTTCCTCCGTATGTTGCAGTTCAAGCTCACACCCTGGAAGCCAGGAAAAACACATTGGGATTAGTCTCTGCGATTGCACGCCATGCTTGTAAGCTTGTGCACTGCAAGTGCTCAGCACCACCAGGTTATCGGCCTTTTGCCCACCTCCTTACAACCTGTCTGCTCCTTGGTATATCCATTACTGTTCAAGGAGCTTCTCTCTCACGAGCTGATGCACATGCTGTCTGATGGGGTGGCACGAGAGTGGACAGAGATCATCACAAGGTCGGGGGGGAGCACAGCCGTGATGTTGGAGGGGCCTCGCTGTCGAGGCAAGCAGTTGATGGATATGTTGAAAATTTAGTGTTGAAAATTCAAGTGTGGAGTTTTTGCACGGCATGGACCCCCTAAGAATGATGATATAGTTTTAAATTAGCCGTATGTTCAACATTTGCTATTGCTTCAGCGTGGAGATTACTAAATTAACTGAACAATTTCGTAAGAATAGGGTTTTGTTGGTGAAGCTACATTTGCCATTTACATCTGTTCTGTTAAGATGTTTGGCTAGACATGGATATGCAAACTAATATATGCACAAATATATATATATATATATATATATATATTTATTTTTTGTTCTTTTCACAGAACGAGGCATCTTACTACTTGGCTGATTGGACTTGAATTCGTCCCAGTGAGCTGAATTACTTATGATTTTTTTTACTGGTGACATATGCTGTGCTAACATGGTTCATACTCCCGCCTCTATGGCGACGCATGAAACCTGTTTAGCAAAAAAGAAAGAAAATTGGATTTGAGGACAAAAGAAACAGTTGCTACATGCACAAGAACAGTGAACACATGATTCCCCTATGTGTTATGCTAAGTACTGTTGAGATAACCACAAGTGGCAGAGCCGCTTGGGATAAAAGATGATAATAGGGTCAAAGTTCAATCACGAAGAACTAGGTTTTTCCCGATCAAAAATTGTGCTTTTCACCTACAACAGTCCCACATATCCTTATAATCCAATACAAATGCGCACCTTTTGATGCACACATCTATTATTTAAAACTTTTCATTGATGGATGTTGTTAAGACATCGTAAGTTGCTGTATGTATTAGGTACCTAAAGTATTGAAACGCCGGAAACAGAACACAACGCTAAATGCAACAGCTGCTACTGTACAAGTGATAAGTGCAGTATGTATGGTAGACCAACCGTCGGAATCGTCAACAGCTACAGAAAGTTTATTCGAAGAAAAGGCCTTCATACTTCGAGGTTCTTGTGATTCTTCCAAATGAAGTGTCAAAGCCTAAACACCGAACTTCCATTAGAAACATATTTGATTTCCAGCACAAACTGGATCCCAACGGTGTATACCTACCAATCAATAACTGTGTGCCACAGAAAGGGAGGTTCAGCTAAGAATAAGTTCGATGGTTTCTACACAACTGTTCGCAACGACGTGTCAGGAAATGAACTATTAACTCACCTTCCAGCCACTGATCCGAGCGACATTAACAGCAGCCACAACATCAGAGTCAGTGGCAAGTAACACTTTATCACCTTCATCGTCAATATACTGCCACAACACATTCCACGAACACGACCACGAACCATTGCCTTCAATAGGGCTAAAATAATTCGATAAACATTAGATCTCGCTGTTCCGACTATGAATCAAAATCAACCTCAACATCAAAGTCAAACTTGAACATACCATAAGTCGAGGAAGATGAGTTAGATCAATATCATCACCAACACGTTGAGCAATCGTAGACATGAGCTCCGTTAAACTCTCAGAACCTGAATTTCAAATTTAGAGCCCAAAATGAGTTTCCAAAGAGAGAAGTAATGACCCCCTGCAGTCTTGTGAGGCATTCAAAGAACAGGCCCAGCTATTTCGGAACCAGCACCACAATGCTGAGAATAACCCTCAAAATCAATCGTAATCAAATTGTGGGCAGGTTGAGACTTACCACAATTAAACCGATAATGGTGAGGCTTCCCATCATAAGCAGATAATTTCAGTTTGAAAGAAAAAGTATTTCCAGGTCCAAACGATGGATAGCTGGGCGGTCTTTCCAAAATGGCATCAGATCGTCGTGCAGAATTGTCACTGCAATGAAGAGCATTAGTGTCACAATAACGATCCGATTTGAGACCATCATCAGTAACATGAAACTGAGTCCAAGCACGCATAGCCTTACCTGGGAGAATCTGATTCATCTTCCGCTGGTTCCATAGCAGAGTCCCAGAACGTCTGTAACATGGTTGTCGCCATGGCTTGGGCCACACCACCACCTCCAACCTAGGAACAGTATTAATATCATTCAGAGCTTTACAAAGACCCAATGTATCTATTTTGTTATATTTACAGATAATAATTGTTCAGATACGTCATCGAATTGGTACTTTCACTCAAATATATACAGTAAATTGTACTTTCGACTGCAACAATCACGCCAGAGCCGCTCTCTGAAGAATGGAGCCTTCTTTCTTGAGTTTGCGATGTAAAATTGATAAGAAGTCAAGTCCGTGGTTCTTTAAGTTGTTAAATTGAACTTTCTTGAAATTGAAAGAGAATCGAGACGAGACAAGCACTTACAGTTGCTACAGCTCCATGTGTGAGGTGTAAGACATCCACACAAGCTACCACGGACCCATCTACACAGGATTCCCCAGGCACTAAACATTTAGTATGTAGGTTATGAAAATCACTTTGAAAAAACCAGGTGTTCATGAATTGCTTTTAAAAGGGAGCTAATTGTGACGTCAGATAAATCTATCCCGATCTTACCTACAACTTGTACACTCTCAACAACATTGCAACACAAACAAACGAAAGTAGTCGCACTTACCGCTATCTGTGACAGGAAGATGGAGAAATTTCCTATCATGCATTGCATGTAGGGCATCCACCAGAGTTGTGTCCAAACCAGCACACTCAGGATTAGGCGTCATCACCTACCCACGCCAATCAGACAATACATGATAGTATGTTTAAATTTCAACTGAGCTCTTTCTTCATAAAATAGCAAAGACAACAAGAACTGTCTCGAACATCTCATTAAGGGCACTAGGCAGTGGTTGGAGTCTCAACCATGATAGAAATCGTCTAAAAGATCACACCTTATCCAGAGTGGTTGATTCGGGCGGTAAACCTTGAGCAATAACCTTCATTAAAACGTCCTTTGACCTGAAAACATTTATTCCACAAGGCAGCAGAAAGTAAGAGACTGACTATTTTTAATGGAAAATAATGACTACTCATTAAGACGGTGCAAAGGATGTGAGAAGATCTTACGTGAGGATTCCTCTCGGTTTTCTGCTTGATGAAGTGACAATGACTGAGCTCATCCGTAGGTCTCTCATTTTCTTTGTTGCGGTTGTGACTGTTTCAGATGATGAACACGTGGCCACTCTGCAAAAAGAATATAACCAGAGAGAGGACCCCTACATTTGAGATAAGACACATCACCGTTTTCCTCAATAAATCCAACTCCATTAATGCAATACATAGAATCGCTGGCTCCACTGAAACTTACTTTGTTCCTTCCGCAATCAAAGATCTCAAAGTAGGCTTAAACATTCGATCCCGCAAGTTCTCAACGAAATTAGATTTATCTGTCCCAATCAGTGGTCACGTACCACGTCAGTCATACGCCGGAAACAAGGATACAGTAATAATTCATATCATCGTCAAACATGAGAATAAAACACTCCGCGACTATAGCCTCGACCTGAAAACCAGTAACAAGAAATCTTTTACTTGGTACCAATTATGCCATTTTTTTAGTAAACTATTACTTAATTCCCAAATATCCTTCTTCGAGTTTTTAATGAAATTTCAACACTCCATGTTGACATCTGTATTGCTCAAAAAGACATGAGCTTCATGCTTCTTGTACGGTCAGAACGTCGATGTAACCATCTAGCCTCAATGTACGCATGAACTTATAGGGGACATGCAACTCAGCTATGTAGAAGCTTGGGAATAAAACTCGGGTTAAATATTCATGTCATGTTACTTTCAACACGAGATAGCAAGTTCTGTACGCACCAGAGCCCTTGACGCTCCACTCACGCTCAACAGACTCTATAGCAGCTGCGATAGCATTACCCTTCTCCGCGGCCCCCTCCACGCGAGCAATCGCATCATAAAGACACTTTGTTATGTCCAATAGTGCTATCACTTCCCCGTCCTCCACTACAGGTAAGTGTCTAAATTTTCCTGTGAGTGCTCCACAACAACCACCATCAGAACCTTTGTTAACAGATCTACGTGTTCAAAACAACACCACTAACCTGATCAGCACAAAGTACATTCCGAATTCCACAACAAAGATCAACTGATAAAAGAAACACAGGAGCCATCGCTGCCTACACAATACACCTACCAACAAGATGCAAGTAAAAAACAGAGGTTCCAAAAGATGCTAATTCTACACTAAAAGCTCGTAAAATTTGTTGCACCTTGCACCATCGTCTGGAGAGCTTCAACTGCTAGTGTGTCACCCATTACAAAAACAGGATTCCTTGTCATCACCTTTGAAACTGATATCTCTTCAGGTTTTAGTCCTTCGGCAATGACTCGGGTTGAAATGTCCTGCAAACCCCATTTTTTTACTTTCATTTCAAGTATTTAGCCCCCAATTCAATCACGAATAATGTTGGTGATAGTAAAAAAGCAGAGAAAAAGTAGAAAGGGAATGTCCGCAACTCTATATTATCTCCATGCAATGAAATAACGACAACAGCAGCAATCCACTACATTGATTCACAAAATTTCGAAAGGAGAAAAAGTTCCGACGCACACCGTAATGCTTATCGCAACCTGACTGCAGAAGAAAACTTCAGAAAACAAATAAATACTTTGATAAACTTCACCTGGTCCGTAATGATGCCACAAAGTAGAGCATTAGAATCGGTGAGCAATGCAGCAGTCACCCGTCGGGTGGCCATTCGACGACACGCATCGGCCACAGTAGTGCCATCAGGAATGGTAAGAGCCTTCGACAGCCGTAAACGTTTCACTGTTCGTTCTCCTTGAGGCCTGGTACAACATGAGAGATGCCATAAGAACCCTTCCTTCAGGTCAATCCAAATTCCTAATTTCATGATGCACAGCAAGTTCCAAAGTGAACTGCTTATGAAGAACCCAGAGACCGAAATGAAGGTAAATCAAATGTACATTTATACGTTGGTACATTCCAACTGGTTTAAGAATCATTGGAAGCACCGTTGAACGAGTTAGATTAGAAAGAAAATCATGAATTTGAATTAACCATTTGAGAATATCTTTCAATTTAAAATCCATGAAAATTATCGTATATTTGCACCAAGAGTATACAGAATTTATCACATTAATGAATTTTGCGCCTTGGGACTCTTCGATCACTTAAATGGGTCTACTAAATAAACAGGTAATTAATACACTTAAAAATGGCAGGACTAAAACAAATACCGGTGGATAACAATAGAAGAAGCAACCCGCGCGGCATCCGTGCGAAGAAAGCATCGCATTTTTAGAAACATGAGACGGAAAGATACGTCCTCTAGAATGCGCATGAAATTGAGTAAGAAATTCAGGATTAACGTCATGGAAAACCGATTACATATTAAAAGACAGAGTTCAATGTACAGCAGCCAGAGCGGATATGAATGATTTATACCACAAATAAAAAGAGAACGGGAGCGCACCTCGACGACAAGAAAATAGAAACCCACGACGGATAAGATAGCATTCCATAAAATTCGACCCTCAATACACTACCACAAATTGTAATAGACGAGATAGAGAAGATGGTGAGCGCTCTCTCAAATTGCTTTTGGTCTCACGAACTCGCAAACAGAGTTGTCTTACGAAATTTACCACTATCTGCAGTTAATGGATACTACGAATTCTCGTTTGTGCTTTGAGCGCGCACGCTTCTGAAGTGTTAGCGCTTGTCAATTTCTAAGTGCCCAACAGAGGAGAGAAGCTTCAAAAAACGCACGTCTACCTGAAGGACTTGCGGCGAACCACTGAGCCAGTGTCTTGAGGAGACTTGTTTTGCTCGGTGGGAAGAGCACCATTTGAAGCCGAGGGAGCAGCTTTTTGCAAAGACGATGAGCGCCTCGCTGTATCTATCGCTTCTACCCCTTGTGAGCCATCCTGGGTACTCATTGTGCTGAAAATCAGCCGTCAACCTTCCTCTGTCTCTTCCCTTTCGTTCAACAGTTTGCACTTCTGATTCTCAGCTAAAGCTCCCAAGTCCAAGCAGCCCCAAATTTCTTACCCAGTACCACAGTTGCTTGCACAACGAACCCTATCCAACGCGTGCTTATTACAGTAATATCAAAACATAATGTACTCCATCAAAGCTCGTATCGTTCCCCTTCTCCTTTCCGCGCAATGCACGAAATCCACAACAAGAAAGGAAGTACCACGAGAAAAGAAAAAAAGAAAAACTCTCGCTGCAGCAGCAGCAGCAGCAAAGAAACTGCGAAAGCACCACCACGCTACGCCCAAGCTGTAAAACAACGACTGCAACCCAATTCTCCGGATGCCAAACTCCACACTCGAAATCCTTCGTTCCAATTATGACTACTCAAACACACAGAACCCAGCTCCACGAAAACAACAACAATCGCGGCGTGCACAACAACCAGCGCACTCAACAGGCTCCTCCTCCTTTGACGAAACTGTCGCCAAGAAGCGCCGTGAGGACTCAAATCCGCACCAAATTTAATGCCCAATTGTTCAAACAACGACATGGAAGCGCACCACGCACATAGCGAAGGCGCAATTCGATGCATGCGATGACGTCGACATACACGGGTGGCGGAATTTCATCCCAAATTCGTCCCAAAAACTTATTTTACCGCGAAATGCCGAATTAGCTGTGGCCCGCACACACGAGATTGAGACGTGGGAACTCCATGGGAACGTCGGAGAACGACGACCATCCACCCCTGGGGAACATCCATCAGACAACGCCGGGGATCGTGCTTCCGGTGGCGGTGGTGGCACTTGTTCCGTTCGTTCAAATCGTGTTCCCCGTTCCCGAGTCGGTATGTGAACGTAGGGTCGGCAGCGAGTTACAATGCAGAAACTTTTTATCGTTGATTCAAACTATTGCTTGTCATTTTTTGCTAAGCCTGCTACAAAGTGAGGAGCGATCTCTTTTGCTAATTTCAACACAGGTTTGTCGGAATTGACAACATTAACAGTGAAATTACAAGGATTTATTTGTTTAAGCGCGTTTTACACTACAGTTGTTTTCTATCACGTTTCACAACTATATTTTTAATTGCTGGGTAATGTTTTAGAGCGAATTCTAGCTTGAGGGAAGCAGAAGATAGAGCAAAGTAAGAAGCTATCTTCGTTTGGAAACTTCACATTGTTGAAACAAGGAGTTGGGTTCTGTTTTCTGGACATGCTAATGAACTAAAATTGCTTCAAAAGTAGGAATCGTTGAACTTCGCTGCGGGCGTGACTTTCCACGTGGGACCGATTGAAAGGCATGTAGGCACCGAGGGTGGCAATCTCACAGCTGAGAATTTATCGAGGCTATCACCAACCTGAGGTTGATCTACCTGCAGGGAAGCCGCTGCAAGTCAAAAAGCAAAGTGGAGCGAGCTGGTCCACAAGGCTGCTATGGAATAAGAGGACTAGCAGCGAGAATCGTGGCCTCCCAGCTCCGTGGCCCTGAATTTCTAATTTAAGCTGTTTAAAATCATTTGGGCATTCATCTGGTCGTTTTCCATTATCGTTGGCGCTGCTAGAAGCTTGTCACCATGTGGATCAGAACGGGAAAGGATCCACATACATGAATTCAGACCATTGGAGGAAGACTCAGCTTCATGCAAACAGTATCCAAAAGCCAAGGAAGGATCACGCCCCTTTGGAATGTGGACAAGGAGGACAAATTTCAGCCTTCCGTTTCTCCACAACGCCCTCACATAGGTCTCGAATTGAAAACCCCGCAGCAGTTACCTAGTCGATAAAAACGCTTATTCTGCAAAATTCTTGTCGAAGCTTGCTCCAGCTTCTAGTCTCTAAAGAGTGTCACATGATATACTCCCAATGAGGGATGAATGACAGCATAGCCTGCCTGCACGCCCATAAGCTGGCAAATTTATAACTGCAGCAGTCATTCGTGTCATGCCAGAAACATTCCCATTCGCAGCTCCCTGAATTGGTAGGAAACTCTGATGAACCCACAGCTTAACAGCAGCCACTTCTCAAGCTCCTCTTCAACAACAAAGCTGAATCTATTTCCTGCCTTCTTCTTCTGCTGTGTATGGGACCAACCAATACAGCCTTGGCGAGTGTGGGGCACTCCAAACATATGAAGATATAGACAAAACAAACAAAAAACAAAAAGCTGGAAAACAGCTTAAACTGTGCAATGAGGGCATACTGGTTTTCAAATGTGTGCAAACTTTCGCACTGAAAATAGTCTGGCCGAGTGTGATTCCGACAATTGGATAGCCACTTGATGTGCCAAGATGGAAGTATTTGAGAATAATCAAACTCGTGTTTTGAATGAAATGAAAGATGGTGGATTAGAGTTGGCTATGACTGGTGATGAAAGACCAAGCATTAAAAATATAGCAGGCGTTGTGGTAATTTGTCACCACAATTGCGAATATTTTCTCATGTAAATGCAAGGGGAACTAATGCAGCTCTGTGCCAATTTCAAAATTGGTTCATAGAATCGTGTATAATATTACTATTCTTTATAATATACAACTAGTCTTAAAACAATAAAAGAAATTAATTTTAAAAATTATTTTTTAACAACTTAGATTTTAATAATTATTTATAAGAAAAATTATTTATTTCTGAATTTTTTTTAAAAAGTTGTAGGCAATTTTAGATTATATATATTTATTTATTTACTTATTTACTTATATATATATATATATATATATATATATATACTTCTTAAAAAATATATATATACTTTTATATATATAGAACTATTTTATTTTAAAATGAGATAGATAAAACATAAGTTGTCATATAATATTAACTCTATTTATGATTGTAATATTAAGTATCTTATTATATTAATAGTTTTTTTATAAAAGAAATTTCTATGTTGACACCTATAAACATGTAATTGAACACAAGCTCAAGAATAAATAAATAAATAAATAAATAAAATGATTTTTTATATCAAAATTCAAATAACAAACATAATGCAAAAATCTTCTAATATAGTTTTAAATAATAATCATTCCTTTTATTTGTTCATTAAATTGATGTGTGGCATGGGGTGTTCATGTAGTGAAAGGGAGATGTCTACCTTGTGATTTCCTATTTTTATTGTTAGATCAAAATAAATTGTTTTAACTTTTATTTCATATTAATAATATATTATTTTAAACTAACTAATTTTTAAAATAATTAACTCATCATTTAAATTTTAGCTTTTTAAAATTTAATTATGTTTTATAATCTAACAAAATAAAAATAAATAAATAAAACTAAACTTATAGATTTTATAGAGAAAAAATAAATTTTACATACTAACACGTACAAGGACATCACGATGTGTCCATATCTTCTTTTTTTTTTGTTCTAAAAAAATAGCGAAAAAAGTAAAGAATTTATTTAATGGACACAAAAGGTTTGATCTTTTCTTTTTCAGTTCAAAATAATCAATTAAACTAAAATTAAACAACTACATAATATTAGGAAAATGACCATCAACTTTTAAGTCACAAAAAGAAGTGCAGTTGATAGTTTCTACAATACAGAAATGATGCTGATGGTGATGTTTTACATTTATAATAATCATTTTTAATCACAATAAAATAATTCCATCCAATTTCGGTAAAGATTTTACTTTAGTTTCTATCAAACAATACAAATTAATAAGCATTATATTCCATGAGCATGTTGAAATTGCTCAGCTGCCATTGCCAAGTCTTGGAGAGCATATTTTATTTGATTACCAAGAATTCTTGAGACATATCCACCTGATAGCATCAAAATTAAGATCAATACAAAATTTTAAAAATAATGTTTCTAGTGTAAATGTTTCTAAAAGTAATGATTGAACTAAGTACATATACACACACATATCACAATATAAAAATAAAAGAGAATAAATATCCCTAAAAACATTAAAGGAAATAGAAGATTTAATAAAATATTATCTTGGATTTCTTTAAAGAACATATCATAATAAAAGAGAGAAATAGGAATAATAATAATAATAATAATAAATAATAATAGATTTATGCCTTGAGACTTTATTTTATTTTACTTTACTTTTTCCTACAAAAATATTATGGAAAAAAATAAAATAAAATAAAAAATAAAAAATAGTTGGGCTAGATTAGACTCTTCCACTTAAAAATGATTATTATATAGTGATACATAATGTATATATATGTGAATTGTTTTTAGAAATCCTCTACCATAATTCACAATTACATTCTCCAAAAATGTGAAACCAACCCAAAAGCCATTACGATGGAAATGGTCCACATCAATCCTCCCATTCTTTTTCTTTTTCTGAAACCATTTCTGAACGGAAAAGTCCGCAAATATCAACAAAAAAAAAAGGGGGGAGTGTTAACCTAAAGGACCTGGTGGAAGAATGGAAGGCAGGACTTCCTGAGCCACGGAGACTTTGGAACCCAGTTGCTTTGCCTCCTGCATCCATGGCTCGATGCTCCAGTAGCCATTGAACTGCTTCAAATAACCCGGTTCGTTTCTGCACATAGTCACCCCAGCATGAAGAAGAACATGAACATCAGTGAAGAAAAAACCAAATCAGAGGGGTCTTCTCTTCAGCATCACGCAGCACTGGATGTCACAAGCAAGTGATGGATGTGATAAAAAAAAATATTAAAAAAAAAAACCCCCCATTTCCCCCTTTACACAGTCTGGTTCAGAATCGCTTCAATGCATAACTAATGAGAGCACTTGTTCATTGTGATCAGTGACAAGAACAGTTAGTTTTTCTTTTCTTACAAGGTTTACTCCAGGTTGTGGTTCGCTTACAGTTTGAAGGTAACTAAGCGTTTGCTACAGTCCTCTTCAACCTCAGTATTTGATGGTGAATTTGCCCGACCACAACATGATGTTCCAGTTCGCATGCTGTGTCACTAGCTTCACATTTTCCTTGTCCTCTACCTCAACTTTGGTGACGGTTTTGAAGACTCGCGGATTGTTTTCGTAATCGGTTAGTATGCCATACGTGACATCAGGATCCACGGCTATGCTCATAACGCCTTTCACCTCGAAGATTCCATTCTGTCACGCAAAGCACGAGACTAACCACCGTTCAACAGAAACAACAACTGCAGGTGTGTTCATACTAATAAACCTTGTTAGGATTATACAACATTACTAGGACCTCGATACTTGCTTCTTTCGTTGCCGAACGATGTTGTTACATCAGTCGCAATCTGGAGCAATGCTTGCTGAAGTAACCAGAGCCAGTCGGCAGCTAGTAAGGCCGTAACTGAGGTGATTGATCATATGTGCAGATACCATCTCTGTTACTTGAAAACGAGGGCATGAGAGCAGTAAATACAACCTTTCTCTGAACAGAGACTTTCGCTGGTCCGGACTGAATTGAATTCGACATCCTGAGAACAGTGCAGCGTGTATATGTCAAAAAAAAAAAAAAACAAAAACAAAAACAAACAAACAAGCGTACTCCACGGACTTCACAAAATGGTATATTCCACACTTGGAAACCTGAAACCTCAAGATCGAGGTATCTAAAAAGTTGATACTAAGAAAGAAAAAAAAAAAAAAAAAAAAACAAAACAACAACAACAACAACAACAATTTTCTGGATCAAGGGGAGTAAGAAACACAAGAAAAAAACCTCGAACACCGAATCGTAGGACTGAAACCACAGAATAAAGTGACTAGGTACAGGTGGCGAACAACTCCCTCGACCCATTCACACAATGTGCACAGCCACAGAATTACTCGAACACGACATTAACGTCCTGCTCCTCGAGAAACAAAAACTGAAAGAGGGGAGGATAAATTAGCTGCGCCGAAAAGAAGATTAACCTCGCTGTGAAAGGTGAATTACGCCGGTGGCCTGCTGGATCCTTCTCCCCAGCAATTCTGCTACATTCCTCACCATCTATCGACGCTCTTGGTTGCATTCCTCGTTCCCGCCGCAGCAGCGTTGGAGAGCGCCGATTACTAGAGAACCTGTTCCTCGCCATTACGCTTGTCAACCCAATCCCAAAACAATCAAACCTGTACCGATATTGAGCGATCCCCTCCTACCCAAATGCAATGGCTCAAGCCTCTTTTGAAACTCAATGGAGTTGAATCTGGACAGGGAATCGACTGGCATGACTGTGAGGAAGCAATCGAATCGTTGAGCTGATGACCATTGCTTCTTATGGTGCGTTCGTAACTCCACGCCAGACTGGATTCAAGCGTGGCGTGATCACAGCGGCAGTGAATACATCTCAGAGAGTCCGTTTCTTTTTTATCTTTTTTCGAGTTCTTGTTCCTCGCTTTAACATTCACTTACGAATGAGTAATTTGGACATTGATGGATCCTATATTAAGTGCTGGTTTCTTTGCTTGTTGTACAAAACACGCTTTCACAACACAATTTGGTGATGACAGGTGAATGGAAAGGAGCTTGTCATTTGTACACTGTATTTGTATTGCTACAACTATCCACGTACATTTGTATCTCATGATTTCGCCACCAGTAACTATTCCACAAAAAGTGAATACACACAAAAATAAAAATAAAAATGTAAGACCTCAAAAAGTATTCAGAAACACAATCATGTTCTTGTTGAAATCCTCCCACTGAAAACGTTTTAACTTCATAAAAATTGCAATATATAAATAACTTGTAATCAAAGTAAGAAAGAATACAAAATAAACTCCCAAATTGAAGACGTCTCTTGTGAACTACGCAGAAACTCTAGTTATTACTTCTAGATTTTTCTTCTTCATTTTATCCAGAAACGAAGGAGAAATAGAGAAGTTATAACTGGAAGTTTTCCAACTGCACTCCATCCTCGTCCTTTCGCAAGCCTGCTCGTCACGGGAAGCTCAGACTCCACCTGCAACAAGACCAATTCGTACCATGTCTCCAGCAGTCGCAGGACGAGATCGACATGCGATCCACATGACCCAGCTGATGGAATGATCATTCCACAGAGGCGACACGATGAACCGTAACCGACTTGCTTGCAATTTGCTAATGGAGAAGAACCTAAGCTCAGTCGATTCCAAGCTCGAAGGGAATGAGTGGGGGCAACATCGATCTCACAGCGTTGTTAAACGAAACCGAGGGGAGGAACATAGGAAAATCGTAGCAGAGTCGCATAATTCCCCAAGGATAGTTTAATTCCCCAAGGCCACGAAGTGGTGCTGAGAAGCAGCAAGAGGAAGTCGGCAGGATTTGTCGCGATGGTGACTTCGTCGCGAAAAGACAGCGGGTCACACATCAGGCGGTTGCATACGCTGCGTTCTCACCTACATAGTCGATGCATTCAATCGCACTAGAGCGGAAAGAGTATTGCAACGTTGTGCAATAGTCTTTGTGCAGCGGTCAAGCTTTTGATAACCAGTAGGGTGTCACGACTGGAAACTGACTGCCCAAATTCAGTTCACAAACAACGTCTAGCAAGCGTCTAGGGCTCTAGTTGACATACAGCACGATGTTTGCAGATCAAACTTTTGTCTACTTTATTTTTATTTTTATGTTAAATCCATAGAAGAATAGTCGTCGAGCACCGGTTGCTGCAGGGCTTCCGCGTAGTGCTCCAGCATCCATCGATGGCAACCCTGCAGGTTTCTGGGACAGTAAATCCTCGTTTCCAACTTGCACAGCAGTTGTGACTAGATTAGTTCCCTCTCCGAAACTTTAACAAGCATCCACTGCTCTAGTGTTCGATCTAGTGTGGATGTGCTGCCGCAAGTGAACTTGCAGATTCACTTAACCATGTGGATGTGGGACCATTTTCAAGCCCATTGGAATCCGACAGGAGATCATGTGCGGTGTCGGTGACGAACACTTGGATCGCCGACTTGCACCGACAGCTTCATGGCCCCATCTGACACATGCATGATCTGCTCTTGTATTCGGATAATTATTCTTTCTGAAAAGTAGTAGAAAAGTAAACTAATTGTTATGATTCTTCGCTTCATTTCAATAGTTTTTTTTTATTTGTGTTACTTTTTAAACGGTATTACTCTAGCATCGGAAAGTTGTCATACAGTCTTCAAAGCTTCTTGCACTTTCTCAATCAATATAAATTATAAAAATAAATAAAATAAACAATGATTTTGTCAAAGAATTTTTTTTATCTTTTAAATACTTTTATCTCTTTTGAGGAAAACTAAATTTGATGAAGTGATTGGAGCAAATAAATAATCATAATCTTTGAATTAGACTATTTAAAATTCACAAATTCTTTTGTAGCATTATGTTGATTAACTAGTTATTTTATGTATATAATAACTTATTTATTGACACTAAAATGGATCTTAAAAACTAGTATACTTTAATTTATTATATTGTAGAATAAACATAATACTACTTTAAAGTCTTTCCAATACCAAATTCAAATATAATTTTTAAAATCTAATTTGTAGTGAATAAACTAGTAACAATCTTACAACTTCCGTTTTATTCAACATAAAATTATTGTGTACTCTCTTCAGTTTTATTAAACTAATATTTTATGTATATATTAATATCTAACTTCAAAACCTTCAATAATTTCTTAATTTCTTGTAGAAGTTTTGAAATTACATTTTAATTTTCATTTTTATAATAAATTAAAATAAAACAGTTTTTAAGATCCATTTTAGTGCTCACAACTTACATAATTACAAAATTTGTTATAATTTTTTACTTTTTATAATGATAATTAGTATAGTAAATCTACTTCTAAAATAATTAATTAAATAAATAAATAAATGATATCATAACTTGAAAAAACTTCCATTATAATCTAAAAAGAAGTAAAAAGATAAATAATTTTAAAAAATATTAAATACTATGTTTTTCTAATAAGTTAAATTTTTTTAGGACTAAAAAATAAATTAATATTTATATTTAATTAATAGAATTAGCCTTTTGTAATAAAAATTCTTATAATACTTTTTATCCAATAAATTTTTTTAGTTGTAAAAATAATTAGTTAATAATAGTATATATATATATATATATATATATATATATATATATATATATATATATATCTTTATTTCCTAAAAAAAATTATTAGTTATCTATGTACAATATAATTAATAACATAAAATAATGTAAAAAGTATGAACAATTTTTATGTACATACAATTTGGAAAAAAAAAAGAGAGACATTTAAATAAATAAAAAATTTAGTATAAAATTTTTTAAATTTTTATTTTTTAAAAAATAATCAAGTAATAAATAAAAATATATTAACTGCTAATATATTAGTAAAAATATAATTTATTTTAAATTATTTTATAAATTAAAGAATTTTTTTAAAATCCTCTACTTTGTTATAAAATTTGTAAATAAATTGAATGTAGATATGAAATTATGCATATATATATATATACACATAGATTTAACTCTTTTACTTATTTAAAAGTATTTATTGTATTACAAATATTATTAACTATATATGAATGTCTTAATTTTTTAAATAGAAAATTAAATAAAATTATATAAAATTATATAAAAACTGTGACAAAGAATACCAAAAAAAAACCACCCATTTTATTGTCAAATATCTGAATTTTTTTAAAAAAACCACATATCATAAATTATTTATAATATTAGTCAGTTTTATAAATTTTATTAGTTATTATAACTTTAACTATTATTAATGATGTGGATCCCAATGAGTTGTTTGGAGTAACTCGTATTTTTACGAACTGTTTACAATGTGTTTAGTTTCATTTTCATATTTAAATAGATCAAACTAGTCTACTAAAATAACTTATCTTTTCTTTTTCTTTTTTCCTATGATTTATTTGTCATTACATCAATTTGTAGCATCACTAGCTGCTAAATAAATAATTGATGTGCCTATTTTCAAGGATAGAATTTGTCTAATTACTTAAGTGTAATTGATATTTAAAAAACCATATGAAAAAGTTTAAAATTTAAAATATTTATTATATTCCTAAATGTTAAGTAAAAAATTGATTTATTGCCAAAAAAACAAATCAAGTCAGATTAAATTATAAAATATATAGAAATTTGGATTGAAAGCATATTCTGCCTTAATAATTATTTCCAATTCAATTGATTAAGTAATAATAATAATTATAATTTAATTTTAAAATTATGTATTCTGTATATGTAAATATACAGAATATTTTTATTTTTTGCACTGAGTTTCTTTATGCAATTTAATAATAAAGATTTAAGGTGAGTTTTTTTTGTGATAAAGGTATCGATAAACATTTTGATAAAGGTATCAAAATGCATTGTAAACAAACCTATTCTTCTTCTTCTTCATTTCATACAGAGAGATAAAGATTGGCTGTCTACTTTAAACAATAAATAAATAAAATACAAGTTTAAACAAACTGGTAACAAACAGAGCATAATATAGTACAACTGCATGAAAGCATAAGAATTAAGAAATGATAAATCCAAGGAAGATTTCAAATCTACCCTCCAACCATGCAAAGCTTCACTGAACAACTCCCACATTCAACATTGAGAAAGAAAGAAAGAGAGAGAGAGAGACTTCGCTGCCTTTTATTTATTATTGTTATTAATATTATTCTTGTGTGAACCCAACTCTACCACATTCCCCCGCCCATGCGTTGCGGTGCTTCCGAGGGAAAAGTAGTACATTCACACACAACCACGCACAAGATTCAATGCATTGAACCACAAGTGGCACGAAAAGCAGACTCGTTCAAGTGGATCAGAAAAAAAGCAAAAAAAAAAAAACAAAAAACAAAAACATATGTGAACGGAGAATAGTAGGAATAGCAATAGCATAGCATAGCGTAGCAATAGCATGCGCTCACATCGAGACAAACGCAAAACAATTCGTCACCTTGCAAACTATTGCTACGACGTGAAGCTGAACCTGCGTCATTAGCCAGGGCCGCGTTGCCATGCGAACCCAGGAGCGGGATCGCAATGCGGCGAGCTCCGCTGCGATGGGTAGCACTTCAGCGCAGGTATAATTTTGAAAGGGTGTGTGTTCATTCCCTGGTGCTGCGCTCGCTCACTAGTGTCCTGCTCTGTCGCGACCCAAAAGGAAATTCCGCGTGTGCCGAATCCGGACTAATCTGGGCCTTTGTCGGGCCGCATCGCTCGCATCGGAACGGGAGCCCGAGCGATGGCCACCACCTGTTAAGGTTCTCTCCCTCCCTCTAAAATTAGGATCCCTCCCTTCTCTTCCCTCTCTCAAATTTCGACCAGCCAGCTGGTGATTGCGAAAGTCCACGACAAATTCGAACTCGCGGACTGAGGCGCTGCAGG